GTCCGCTTCGCCGGGTGCCCGGGCTCTCCGTGCAGCCCCGCTCCGGCCAGCCCGGTTGTCGCCCCGGCCCGGCCGCGCTGGGGCTGCCCACACCCGGAGCCCCCCGTGCCCCAGCGCTCGCCGGGACACCGGCCTTGGCCCGCCCGTAAAACTTCCGAGATTTCTTGGCGGAGGTCGCGGCGGTGGCCCCTGCTCCATAACTTCCTGCTTTCGCCCTCAGCTCCCGGGCACGGCCCGGTAACGGGAGCTCCTGCAAGAGCGGGGGGCTCCCGGGAGCCGTCCCGGAGTGGCCCCTCGCACTGCTGCCGCCGCCTCCTGCCGTGGGAGATGTCCCTGCCTGCAACCTGGCCTTGCAGGTCTCCATCTGCTGCCGCTGGCTGGGAGCAGATGTGATGAATAAGAGTTGCAATGTCTCCTTTGGGACACACTGTTAGTGTTTTGTTTTCTTCTTTTTTTTTTTTTCCCTTCCAATCCCTGCTCATATTAAATATATCATGTTACTATTGGTTTGGGTTTTTTTTTTTCCTCCCCAAAGCTGTAGGAGCTTGATGGGCGAGGGAGCACGGTCCTTCTAACAAACAGCGAACAGGTGAGATGTGAAGGAGAAAGGGGTTGTTTAGCTTTTGTCTCAGGTCACCCTGCCATGGGAGCAAGCTGGCTGCTGACACCTCTCCTGGAGGTGAGGCTTAGCCTTGGCTTTGGAGAAAGGTTTGTGTGTTTGTATTTAGTGTTGTTAATGGTGTGGAGTGGCTGAAGTAGAGTTCTGGGTCGGACAAAGCTTTACGGATGGTGACGAGCTACGGGGACAGCTTCACCGAGGTGATAAAAGTTGTCCGTTGTAACGTGTTACTCCGTGGGGAACGCTGCTCTTTGTAGTCACCCGAGAGCACTTCAGTCAACTGGAATATCTTGCTTTACCAAGTCCCAGGTGAAGCTCAATGCCCAAAGCAGCTGCCTGGTGATTTTGGTTTTGACTGGGGAAGCTGGTGCTTCTGGCAAGCGGAATGCAAAGCGGTGGTACATCCCAAGGCTTCTCCGTGCATCCCAGCACGTTCCTTGTAAAGGCAGCCTGGTCCACGGAGGGGACAAGGATGATCTGTGCAAGTAGTGAGCAGTCCCTAATCCTGCTCGGTGCTGCCTGGAGCTGCCTGAGGGGCTCCGTTTAGTTTATGGTATTGAAAAGGGAGAAGAGTTCTCAAACACCCTCGTAGGATGGTGCTGAGGACCTTCTTTTATTTGGTTTTGAACAAATTACATCTGCCGTAACTACTGAGCGAAGAAAACTGTTGAAGGAGTTAAACCAGTTGAGAGTCCTGTATCTTCTAGTGGCTTTTTGGTACAGTAATGTCACTGGTACAGGGAATTGCTTATGGAAGAGGTGTGGCTTTTTTCTTGGCTGACGTGGAGGCTTGAGAGACTTCAAAGAGTAAGAGGTTTTAAACATATATAATGTAATGCAGTTCAAGCATGGCAATAAAAGTGATACTGCTGGTAGCCTGGGACCAGTAGTAGCTAAAAGTTTGATTTCAGTGCAGAAATTCTATGGAATCTCCAATTCTCATCTAAAAGTTTCTTCTAGCTAGATCTCTTTGTGTTGCTTTAAGAAGGAAATGCTTTCCTGGTTGACTCTGTTGACCCACTGTGTTTGGTGTAAAATGCTGCTCCAAAGTTCCAAGCCGCTCTTCCATTTGAATCATTCTTCTTTGGAGAAGTGGACAAAGAGTTTTGCATCATGGGCAGTAATGTTGGTCAGTGCAAAGACTTTGTTCTGCTGTTGCATTTTGCAACTTCATGTTGTCATGCTCCCGTGACAAGGAGAACACAATAGGAGTCGTAATGACACAAAAGGTTTGCACAATTAGTAAATTCGTTGCAAGTGGGCGGTCTCGGGTAACTCCAAGCACAAAGCTGTGAAAGGACATGAACTTGCCTGATTTATATGATTGGCTCTCAAATATTTTCTAAGAGTTCTTGGGGAATCTGTCTTTGATCTTTTATTTACTATTTTCTGTGTTTTGGGAGG